TAGCGGTGGCAATTTGACTAGAAGGGAGTGTCTGAGGCTGCACCTGGATGATGCTTTATTTAAGACTGAGAAAACATCAACTGTCCACATCCGAGCCCCTCACCCTCACTTCCCCTTTTGGCACTGCCACTGCAAATAGCCTTATAAAAAAGGAGGCAAGGAAGGAATGGCAGGGGAATAAGAGTATATTTACCAAGTCCTACGCTCTTCAGATCTGGAAAATAACTCCATACAGCGCACTATCAGAGATCTGAATTAGCGCTTTTCTGTTGAGTACTTCTAATGATTGAATACGTCCTTCATACACTGGAACGAAAATAGTGTATCTTGCATATCTATGAAAATACAGTATTTTCACATATCGAATTGGGCTTTTATTTTGGGTACATAAAAAAAGAAGTGAGTACTTATGGTTTGGAAGTAAATATATATGATAGCAATAGAGAGGAAATTAGTATTGAGAGAAAAATCAAAAGTAGTTTTGCTTTGCCTCATCAGAAACCATCAGGAAGCATAGTTGTGTAGAAACCAATAGAAAAAAATGCCTCTATAAAATTTCCATAATGAAAAAGTTTTTTAAAAAATGGTCCTTTTTAAAATACCTCCCAACAATGGAGTCTCAGAGAAGTAGATCCTCAAATGTTCATTAACCAAGACTAATGGGGGACTCCTGACAGAAAACTAGAGCTATATTTTGGATTTTGTTCTTTGGTGAGTGAGAAGAGAAATAGGGAAAACCCCAGAAGATGAGCTCATTACGACCTACGGGTAGGTCGTGGCCTTTCTGCCACTCCTGTAGGCGGAAACGCTCAAAAAGGAGAGGCAACTACTATTTTCGTCTTGGTGTTGGAATGGGGGTGACTCCCAGCCCCAAGTTTCCAGTATTTCTCAAACCCACACAGAACAATAACATCCAGTTCTCACCCACCAACATGTGGTAGTGGTTTCGATCACATTGTTTTCCTTCTTCAGACCCTGTAGCGGGGGGAGCTCCTCGGTGTCTCAGAAAAACACCCCGGCTATTGGTTTCTAGGCTTGTGTATTGGCTGAGGCCTCCATCACGCGCCTCCTGAGTGCCTTCATCTTTAGCTATGCAATGACCCAAACTGACAGACCTGCTGAGTGAAAAGGCAGAGGCCTGGCTTCCCACAGGGGACACGTAAACTATGACAGCAGGCTTCCAGAGCCGGGGCACCTGCTGCCTGCCTTTGTTTTTTAACCGGGATGGCAACTTCAGCTGGGCCCACAGGAAGGGCGGAGGCTGCAAACTGCTCTTTCACATATACCTCGGGTTGCCCTGACTTAATTTAAGACCAAAAACACCAACCAAAGGAATGAACAACAACATCTCTCAGAGGCAGGATAGTGACTTCCCAATGAACAAACTGTCGGGGACAGGTACACCCGATTTCACTGAGTGCCCCTGAGCAGCACTGATTGCATAAGCTGGAGACAGTGTGGTTGCTTTTGCCCAAGCGCACACGGCATTTGCCCAAATGAGAACGCCCCTCACCTGTGCCTGTCTACTGAAAGTAAGACGCAGAATGGCATTATATCGCTAGCCATCCTGTTCCGGCTCGTCAGGAGTGTGGCTCTTGATTTGGGGTACAGTACTCTACTAATGAAGAAGAAAGACACGAATTCCCATACAACAAGGTGGAACGCGCTAAATGGACCCAGAAGCTACAATGCCGGGGAAACACATGGGTAGGAAGATGGAAGAGGGGTGTGTTCTGACTGAGAAGGAGTTGGGGGAAGTCAGGGGGACTTTCTCAGAATAGATGCTAGTTAAATGTTTCTCACAGGATGAGAGACATTTGGGCAGAGAGAAAAAGGAAGGGGTTTGGGAGTAGCCAGGGGCTACCAGCGCAGGGAGCATGCACCTCATGGGCGATGGGGGATGCCATGGCTTATGAGGCTGGACAGGTAGGTTTCACTATATACATAAGGTCTGTACATTTACTATAAGTAAATGACAGGTCAAAAAAGTCCTGAGAAAAACAAAAGCCTTGGGGGATGGGAATAGCTAGAAGAGAGCAGATAAGAAAACCTTTCTCTTTGGGTTTTTGTCCTTACCTCCCAGCCAGGGTTCCCTCCCCCAGCGTCCTTCCTCCAAGAGGACTTCTGCCTCGCTTCCTGACAACGAACTAGTACTAGACTCGAAGGACGTTGGTGCTGTGTGGCGTCACAGGAGAGCAGCCTGTTCATTTGACACAGAAGGAAACCAAGGACCAGAGGGCTGTCATTTGGTCCAGGGTTCCACGGCCGGTTTAGAAGTAGAAGACACAGGTTTGTGTCCTAGTCCCAATTTCAATTCAAAGTTTCTCTAGGACGCTGCTGCCTGAGCAGTTAGGAAATCTGAATGGCTGACAAATTTCTGAAGCTATTAAAAATCAAACGGTAGGAGATAAGGTAGCAGCGTGGGTGAATATCCACGGCATAGTAAATGGGAAACACGACCCCCCTGATTTCAGTGGGTTAAGTACCTGCAGAAAAAAGAACTCACGGGGATGATCACCAAAGTAGTTAATGGTGTCCATCTCTGAGTAGGAGAATTATAGACTGTTTTTGTATTTCACTTTATTTTCCATTCCTAGAAGAAAAATATGCATTAAATCTCCTATTCATTAAAAAATGGAGATTTGTATCATCATCTAGCTTTTCTCATAATTTTGAATTAAGCATTTAGTCTGCTTGTTTTGCTGAAAGCAAACACTTCTTGAGAACAAAAAAAAATATGAATCACTAGGTAAATATTGATCTGTTGCTAAGTGAATAAGAAACATAGCATCCCATCTAAGCAGAGTTTTTCTCCAGACATCAAAAAATTCGTTTCTAATGCATCTTTGGAGAGATTAGCTTAAAAGAGATTTAAAAACTGACTTTGAAAAAAATCCCTCCTCTCTTTTCAATGTTCATGTTTCATCAACTTTATTCTATTCCAAAACAGCAAAAAAAAAAAAAAAAAAAGTTCTGATTCTGCACACAAGTCATAATAATCGGCTGCTTTCGGTCATGAGTAACGCCACCGGCTTGTTAGAAATCAGTTGACTGACCTTTCTAGCCCAGACGATTGTCAGCGAAGGCTGCAGACAGGCTTCCTCTAAGTAAAAAAATCTTCAAAGTTCCAGGAGAAGCACTCTTACCCATAACAGACCTATTTCCTGCCCTCAGCTTCAAACATATGGGAGGCCGTGACAGAAATGCGACACAGAGAAAGAACCTGGAGGACAGTGGCTTCCGACAGAGTGATTAAAATAGAAAGGAGGTCACTAGGGAATTGGAAGGCCATTCTGGGGCCCGTCCTGCTAAGGACTATCATTGAGAGCTGGCCTCTCACTGTGCTCTGCCTCGCTCCTTTCGCCTGCGCCCCGAAAACATCTCCATCCATCTCTCCACAGATAAGACAGAAATCAAGTCTGGAGTCACAAACTTGGGGTCGGTTTCCCTCTCTCCTACTCCCAGTTTCCTCATCCTTAAAATGAGAGGAAAAATAAATCCGACCTCAAAATCGTTAAGGGCATATTTGCCTGCGAGAGATCTACAACAAATACAAAATGCAGTAACGTGGACAAAAGAGTAACGTGAAAACACCTTGGTGATATACTACATGAACGCAGGACACAGGTTTTCCTACAATAAGCATCTAAATAGAAAATAAGAGGTCATTTAAAAGATGGAGGTGACATAGTGTCTCCTTTTTGCCCTTTAATCATTTGTCATGTTCAAGTCTGAGAGTTTGGGTGTTTGGAATTTACCTTCTGAAATAATGTTCCAACATGTTCTAAGACCGCTGGTCCTACCTTCGAAAGGACAGGTCTTGGAAGGAAATAGTTTCCGGGGAACTCGCCCCTTCATACCTACCTTCAAACCATAGTTAAGTAACTGAAGCTGACCTCCACACCTCTCTAACTGGGGTTTCACTAGAAGGGAGCATGGCAACCGGTTAAGGACAGGGGTGGCGAAGTGCCGGGAGGGGGTGGACACAGCCATGGGGCCCAAGAAGACTGACCAGGGACACGTTTCCATACCAGGAAGGTAGGTGAGGGACACCTCAATAGAGGTCACATGGCACCAGGCCAGTACCTTAGACTCATGGAGAAAATGTGCCAAGGAGGGAAAAAAGCAAAGAGAAAGTGTTGGGCTTCAAATCTCTGGGTTATTTCTAAAAGGAAAACAAGAAAAGCCGTAAAAAATTGCCATAATCAGCTTTTCTTTCTTTTCACTTTCAACAATTAGTGTGGAATCAACCCTTACGCTATGTTTTTTTCCGGAACGTAGACAAAGCAGCTTTATTGTGGCTTCCTCTAATTCTTCAGGAACCAACGCTGGTTGCAAATTCACACTCATCTACATGTTAACTTATAAATTTTTTTTAATACCCTGGTTTTCAAAAGCTCTTTAAAAATGAGATGGCTCAGGAACTGGGTCTAGTTGGGTCCCATGCATCTGAAAGCGGGCGCGAACGTTACTTGCCAGTCCAGGTCAGTGAATCATCTAAATTAAGTATTGAAAAATGCTGGACAATTTGAAAAGCATACAATTTCTGGTTCACTCGGAATGAAGGCATTCTCGTTAAGTGGCTTCTCTTGACTAATATCAGTCCATTTTTCAATAAAACAGTTGGAGAGTACCCCACTCATAAACCTGTGCTTTTTTGCTTATTATTTGGAAAAGACTGTTTGTTTGCCCTAACTGGCAACGGAGCATTTGATAGAGGCTAGACTGTTGTCCAAGTTTTCTGCGTCTACCTAAAAATGACTACTGCTTTCTGCCAAGTCCTTGTCACGGATGATGACTCCAGGCAACCAAGATCTGATTCTGTCTCCTACCCTCCAGGATTCAAACGGACTTCTGTGGAGACTGTGGCTATTTTCACAGCCATGTTGCTACTTTACATGGAGGCCCTGAGGACACAATGTGAGAAGGTTCTTCTTTGAACACCGCCCAAGCCAAACAGCTCAGCAGGCGAGCACACAGCAGGTGCGAGGTCTACTCACTCTTTGGTCAGAAGAGGACAGGACTTGAGTAGAAAGCGTGAGAGCCCCGAATCCTGGAAGTAGAGGTCAGGCGGGGCTGTGGGGCTCTTCAGATTCAAACACCGGACGATCACGTACAGCACGGCAGCTACTGCGGCCAGCTTCACCCCATCAAAAACGGCCGGGAGCTCAGAGGTCTCCAGCATGGCATTCATCTTGATCTGGGGAGCAGAGGCACAGGGAGTGAGGAGGGGTGGAGCCTACACACTAGGAGACATCATGATTCAGGTGTGTCCACAGGGCCCACCCAGGTGGACTGCCGTGGGCACCTTACGGACATCACTGAACTGGCAACAACCCAAATCACACACAGTCCTGAGCAATGATAAACTGTGTAGGGTGTTGTTTTATTTAATCGAATGAGCACTTCTAAGATAAGCAAATTGGAAAACACTAAGAATAGGATCCTTTGGAGAGCGAGAGAAAAAAATCCCATCTGAAAGGATGAGGGGGACCTGGAGTCACATGCTGATGTGTTTAACAGGCAGCCTCGAATCTCTCTGCAGATTTAACCTGCAACTGGTGTGCCAGGTGTGTGCCAAGTGTCCAGTTTACAGCCTGGAACAGATATGTGGGTGGGACTGCTATGGCCTGCAGGTGTGGCTGTACTGCCTGCTGGCCCTAACCCTCTGTTTTCAGAGCAGGATGAGATAAAGCTGTGAGATAAAACCACCAGGGCCTGACTCAGCCATCTGCTCCTTGGTGTCAGACCCAGCCCAGGTCACAGGGGTCCTTGCTCTGGGGGGATTTCGGGCAGTGTGAAATGGAGCTCAGTCAATTTTTTTGCCCCCACTAGGCTGAAAGTAACCAAATTCAACGGCTAAGCCAAAATTAAAATCTGGAGTACTGAAAATGCATATGCAATTCTAGCTTTTCTCAAACTCTGCTAATATTTTATCTTTTGAGATTGCTTCGCCTTATATGTGATACACACACGCACACACACACCCCTCCAAACACATACAAGCAAACATCGACGATGACAAAAACAACAAAAATCCAGTCTTTTCCTAGCTGCTCGGCAGAAAAACAGAACATCAGCTGTTACCTTAAAAATCAGGGAAACCACAAGCTAACAAAAAGAAAATGGGAACTCTAACAGCCAAGGTAGCTATGGCAACAGCTTCCCCTGGCTTCAAGTAGCCTCTGCTAAAAACAGTCAGCACGAGAATTCTGGTGGCCAACGGTGTAGATAGAACAGGCAGGATGAAACAATCTCCCCAAAACATGTTTGGGGCATAATAGAATAAACGCTCTTGAGACCCACAGGAAGGCCGAGGGGACTCAGAGACCCTTTTCTAAAGTCAAAGTGACTTTGGCAAATACAGGATGTAAACACACAGCCAACGATCTCTGGCAGGGGCTCCTGACTCAGTAAGGACAGCAAGCAAAGATCGCAGCTCCTTAGCTTGCCTTCCACCACTGGGGCAAGAAAAGGATTTTTAAAAAAATTCATCCTACACAATTTCGAACCCAGGCTAGACCTCCGAATATACTCTCGGCTGCATCCACCTTTGAACTTTTAAGAGCTGACAGTTTCATTAAAACTCGACTTCTGGGGACATGTCATGTCACTCCTGGGGCCATGTTCCCCTTTAAAGACTGGTTATTTATAAACCTCTAAAACAAGGATTCTTAACTCAAGGTCTGTGGGTTCCCTATGGGAGTCTACAGTCCCCTGAAATCATATGTGAAAGTTTACAATTTTCTGGAGAGAAGGTCTGCAGATTTAATCAGCTCTCTAAGGCAGGGGTCCCCAATCCCTGGTACTGGTCCACGGCCCCTTAGGAACCGGGCCGCACAGCAGGAGGTGAGCGGCAGGTGAGCAGGCGAAGTTTCATCTGTATCTGCAGCCGCTCCCCAGAGCTAGCGTCACCGCCTCAGCTCCACCTCAGATCATCAGGCATTAGACTCTCACAGGAGCACTGGTCTCTGGTGCCAAAAAGATTGGACTGCTGCTCTAAGGAGCCTGTGACCTAAAACGTCCATAGTACCACATTCTAAGATGTTCCATGGGTTCAGCCTGTGGCTCTGGACCCTAACCTCTTCAGAGTGGTACCATTTCTGCCAGTCAAGCTAACGACGAACTAGCATCCAAGATGATGAAGCTGCCCAAAACGAGATCTAACAGGAACTCCAAAATTTCTCTGATGTGATGCTGGTGATATGGGAGCAAAACAAGTATTTTTTTCTTGCCCCCTTCGTTGGGAGAACAGAAGAATGCAGCTGGTGGCCGTACCAGTTTCCTTGTTGGTCTAGGATAGACTCATTGAATTAAAAAAATACAAAAGTCCTTCCCCTCCCCACTTCTACTCACTACTGAAGAACAAAAGGGAAGTGAGGAAGAGAAGTAAAAATAAGACTGGGCAACACATACCTATGTCCCTTGTTCCTCTCCACTGAGAATATTAACTGTCCTTGGAGAGCGGCACAGCTGGGCTGGTCAGGTCCAATCTCTTACTCAAAGTAACCTAAAAGCTGAAAAGATGAAATGGTGATGAGAAAGAAGCAATTTAAATGAAATACAAGTACAGTCTCCGTTTCTCTGCATTTCAAAGCTTTAGGGAAAAAGATACTTTCTGTAATTAACGTGTGCCACGCTCTTGGCCATTTGAATGATAAATTTATCATGTAAATGATAAATTCATAGAAAAGGATTATGTGACAAACGAGATGTAGTACATTTTATTTATTGATATTTACACTGATGTTTGTTTACAGCTTGACTCTTACTACAAACTATCTCAGATCACTACAACAAAACACTGACGAGATATGCATAAAGATTCAGAAGTGTGCCAGTCTGCTGATGGCTTCCCCAGAGGAAGTCTCTCCTTCACTGTGACAGAAACCTGAACATGTGCCTTGCTGGCGGGGAGGTGGGACTACAGACTCCGGCCTCACTGGCAGGTAGGCGAGTCCGTGGAACTCATTTCTGGCCACTTTGGGGTGGGGGAGGTGTCTATTTCTGGGGAGGCTTCTTAAAAGGCAGGGAGTTAACTCTTCTGCCATTTTCCCTTCCAGCATCCCTAGGATGCAGACCACTTGGCCGCAACTAGCAGCCATCTTGGGCCATGGAGTGACCTTGAGGTCATTCAAGAAGCCACATTAAGAGGACAGCAGAGTAGAAAGATAGTAGCCTGGGGTCCCTGATGATTTCACAGAGTCACCTTATCAGACCTAGACCGCTTATCTCAGGATTTTTTTTATGTGAGAGAATAGATCTCTGTGTGCGAACCAGTGTTATTTCTAGACTCTTTAGTCTGCAACTTCTAATGACACAGAGGACATACTACACCCAAATCTTTATGGATGCTACAGCTGCTGGGTTATTAGAGCACAGGCAATTTTCCTATTTTTTCCCTTTTCCAAAACTCCTAATGACTAAGATATTTTTGTTATTAGAAGAAAAAAAAAAAGCTTTAAAATAGCAACTCACAAAATCTAAGAAGAAATTAAGAAATTCTGGACAAGGAAAATACCTATGTCAACATACGCAATTCCCTATGTGATTAAGCCTAGAATGGATCGGAGGTTTCTGACTGCTGGGGAAAAAGAAAACCTAATTAGACCGAAATAGAAAGAGAGCTAACATGTATTATGCTCTTTCCCCGGAAAGCATGACAGATACTCAGGAGAAGTAGGGCTCTTCAAGCATGAAAGTATAAACACGCACGCACGCGCACACACACACACACACACACACACACACACCCTATGGAACTTTATATAAGGGGACCTTGAGTGATATGATAGGCAGTGTCCTCCTACAACTTTTTTAAAATAGCAATAGAGAATTAATTTCTCAACCTCTGAAAGATGACAAGGGTTTAAAATTGAATTCAATTCAGTGAAGGCAATCCTATGAGAGGCTTGTAATTACCATGGTCCAAAATATGCAGCCTCGATCCAAGGCTTGAACTTGAAGTTCCAAGGAACGGGGCAATTCTACCACATGTCACTGGAGCCACCGACCTTGAACTTCAGTAGGCTTAAGGGCTGTCATGATGACCTACTGTGTGCCTAGCGCCATGCTAAGCATTCTATAGGGCTGCAGTTAAGTAGAATTCTCATTTTAATTGGGGAGAAAAGAAATTTATGTTAAGGTTTTATATACTTTAAAACGTGGGGACAAAAATAATTAGTCCAGGAAATAATTAACCACAGGGGGACCTATGAAACAACTAGATCTCAAAGTGGGCCTTAGGACTTAGATGTGTAAGTATGAGAGTGAATATGTATGTATGATATAGATATATGTGTGTGATGTATATGTGTATATATGCATTAAACCAAAAACTGGCAATTTCAGAACATAAACTCTTGAAATGAATTTTAACTTTATTTTATGATGTTCTTTCTTTCCAAGTTCAACCTGCCACTAAGTATCAATATTCTGAATTTGTTCTCGACGTAACACACTTAGCATTCACCGTACTATTTTGTATGCCCCTCTCCCTTTTCTAAGCAGGTGAAACCCAGCTAAATGGACATCAGGCAGCCCAGATAGGGAAGTCGCCCAGAATGGCTGCAGGGCCAGGTGTGCAGAAGATGAAAAGGAAGCTTCTCACTCCCCGCCACCGTGTACTTCCCAATACACTGGGTCTTTCCTCAGCTCAGCCCCACACCTCCCCTGCTCCCACCCAGTCATTTTATGAGTGGGATCTAGGTACCGTACGTTCCGCTTAAAATCCCATGTGTGGTCCCTACATTAACAAAGACACCCAAGGTGCTGCCATTCCCAGCGGTAAAGGCAACTTCAGTGTTGCCCCCGATCTCTAAGACAGGCTGGACTGGCGCTCTCAGCAGCCCGAGGGCCTGGGCTTCTCTCTCACAGCTAAGAGCAGCAATTTAAGATGGAGGCACAAATGCAGGAAAAGGCAGGGCCACTGTGCTGGGCAAGGTTCTAGTGTGGGGGTTCTGAGACCTGGGTCCCAGCGACCGCTCTGCTTCTTCCTGCACAGTGACCCTGAACAAGTTACTTAACCTTTCTGGGTCCTAAAGACCTCATCTGTAAAATGAGAGAGTTAGATTAGAAGTAGATGATATCGAAGGTCTCTTTCAGCTCAAAATTTCTGAGATTCTAGGGATAGAATTGCAGTCCTTGGCTAAAGAGCACGGGAAAAACGCCCTGTGAGCTCTGTAACAGAAGATGGCCCTGTTCTCCAGCCTCCTTCCTGGACCATTAAACAACATAGTTCACAAGAACTAACAACCCTCAGGGCCTTTGTTCTTCCTTTAATAAGTTACACAGTGATGTGGCTCCAGCTGTGCCGGTTATGCCACTAATTCCATCGTATTCATTCCACCTCCACGAGTGAGTAATGACTGCAGCCTGGGAATATTAACGTTCCCTGACGATCCGAAACCTACTGTGAAGAAAGAAAGAAAAGCCTGAGCAGACCTCAAACACGGAAACCTCATTAGCTTGTGTAATGGGGTGAATAGTGTCCCCCTAAAATTCATGTCCACCTGGAACCTGTGACTGTTACCTTATTTGAAGGGGGTCGCTGAAGATGTAATCAAGTTAACACAGGGTCATGTTGATTAGAATGGCCCTAGCACCATGACTGGTGTCCTTGTAAGAGGAAGGAAATCGATGTAATCAAGTTAACACAGGGTCATGTTGATTAGGCCCTAGCACCATAACTGGTGTCCTTGTAAGAGGAAGGAAATTTGGACAGAGACACAGACACACAGGAGAAGGGATAGATGGAAGTAGAGACGGGAGCGATGCACGTCCAAGCCGAGGAACCTTTGGAAGCTGGGAGAGAGGCCCTAAGAGACTTTCCCGCAGGGCCCCCGAGAGGATATGTCCAAATTACCTCTTGTGACCCCGCAGTTCCACACGCCTGCCCTTTAGAGACTGAAGAGGTCCTCTGCCACATCCTTTCAAAAGGTCCCTAATTGCTCAGACAAGCTTCAGCCAACAGAGACCACAATAAGCTCAGGGACACCAACACTCCCAGGCTACTTGTTAACTCAATACAAATTGTATTCTGTATGCAAATATTTACTGTCTTGGTTTCTAGGCCTCTGTGATTCAGCTGTTAACAGCATCCTTTCCTCTCTCGTTAACCACAGACGCAGACGCCCTGGGGAGGGGGCGTCTCTCTGCCTTGCAGCCCACAGGACCTGACAAACAAGCTTCAACACTCATGCGGGTCCCATGGCAAATAGCTCTCAAGGAAAACAAAACCAAATCAAGCTCCCAAAGAATTTCTCTCTTCCTCTTCTGGTCTGGGTGAAGATGTGGATTTTGTTGAGCTTCGCTCCTGGAGTGAGAGAGCCCAGTGTCAAATCCTGGCTCCACCAGGTAAGCTTTTTGCCCTTTTTGGCAAGTGGCGTAATGCCGCTGGGCCTCATCTGCACGAACGTGTTCACGCCTCGAGAATATTCTAAAACAATCCCTGGAATACAGTAAGTGCCCCGCTCCCCCTACTATTAGCTAAACCATCAGCATGACTAAACCCTCCTCCATTTTGCCTGGTCGGCTCCCTAATGTAACAGAAATTACAAGATATTCTCTTACCAAACTGACACAGAGGCCTCACCAACAAGGAAATAACTAGCTGATTAACTGCTTGGGCCTCTACCAATAAATTTAAAATTAATCCCCAGACACACATGGAGCCATGATAGACTTAATAAATCACTGAGTAATAAGTGTTCATTATCAAGTCCCGTTAACAGCTCCAAGATGTATTCTTATGTTCGTGCTAAAAAGGTGCTGGCAGTGCCCTCCTCCTGGCACACACGCCCTTTCTCTTCTGCGGAGGGGGTCCCTCCTTTCCTATGGACGGGCTGCCCCCTCATCAACACCTTCCTGCAGGTAAATCCACTGTTGACTGGCCAGGCCCTCCTAGCAAACCTCTTTGATGTCCTGGAATAAAAAACAAAACAAGACAAACAACAACCCAGGCCAGCACAGTAAGCCTCTGGCAGGCTTCCCTGCCCTCGAGGCTGCTCGCAGGATGGCGGTGGGAGGCCACACACAGCACGCTCACGCGTTCCGATCTCTCAGTCTTTTTGGTGGCAACTTAGATAAAAGCAGTCGACTGTAAACGCAGGCAACATGACATCTTTGGGGAGAAGGCAGGGAGGAAAAGGGCCAGTTTCTTCCCACTTTATCTGCCATTTAACTAAAGAAGTCAGAGCTGTTACAGAGAAAAAAATAAAAGCCACTCCACAGGAGGTGAGAAACAGCCCAGAGCAGATTGCTAGGAGGAAGCCCAGCTGTCCCCCTCCGAGATATTTCTTTGTGCTCTGAGTCACTCACTGCCAAGGTGCTAAGACCCTGTCAGAGGCCCTGCCAGAAGGTTCCCAGGTCTGTCCCACTCTCCAGAGGGTGCACACCTGCTGACAACCACCTGCCGACAACTCGGGGCCAATTGGAGCCCCATTCTCCTCTCACAGTGAGTCCCTCTGCATGCAGCTCACAGAACTGCCTCTCGGCGCATCCAGGTTGTTCCAGGCCT